TCTGAGTTGTTCTGATTTTTTTAAAAAGCTAAAACAAAGGTTGAAGACAAGTGAACTCCAGTCCTGAGCCCACACGGGTCTGAACAAAGCTGTTTTATCTGCCTTTTCTTGTCAGCCTGTAAAAGCTAGAAGGTCGAGGCAGCCAGTGAATGTCTGACAAGTTTAATTAAAATCAAGTCTGTTCTCCCCATCCACTAACCTTCACCAGAAGAAAAATATAAATGCACTAGAAACTTATCTCTAACTTTGGGGAGAGGAAGTTTAAGGTGAGGGAGGTGGTGGTTTTAGGAATAGTTCATTTTCTCACTGGGAGGTAGGGATGGGAGGTAGCGATGTCTCTCCTGTCCTGTGACCATCGCAATCAGGGCTGCTTCTGTTCTGCTGCAAATCCAGCTTCTGCTATAACCCTTTATTAGCCTTGCAATCCACTGTGGCCAATATGGATGCAATTAATTACATAAATAATTTCAGTGCTAGGGAAACATCTAAAACAATTCAGAAAATAACACTATTATGTACATAATATTTGTGTACTAAAAGAAGGGAGGGACAGTTCATTCCGCTTGTATTTTATTGCATGATTTTTTGTTTCTGACCTCAGATGTCCAATGGGATTGCTGCAATTTCTGCTCCTGCTTCCATTTCCCATGGAATTCTGTCACATCTCTCTTGGAGGGGATGGCAGAAACATTCCTGTGAATTCTTTGCCCATCTGTAGTATCCTAGAGTTCTGCCAGTGGTGGCAGGAAGGCTTATGAAACATGGCTCTATTCTGGCTCTTTTTTGTTGGCTTCTCAACCCTCTGCCCTAGCCTCAGAAATGGAGTGGGGAGGGGTCAGAAGCACCTGATGCCTCCTCTTCTCTCCCAGCAATCTCAGGTGACTCTTCCCACCCACACCTGCCACGTGCATAAGGTCACAAAGGTTTTCTGGCTTCTCATAGGTGGAGTTGCATCCCTGCCCCCATGGCAACTCACACTGTCCTTTCTGTGCCTCTCTAAAGCAGCCTTTCTCAACCTTGGGTCCTCAGATGTTGTTGGACTACAACTCCCATCATCCATAGCTAGCAGGACCAGTGGCCAGGGATGATGGGAGTTGCAGTCCAACAATTTCTGGGGCTCCAAAGTTGGAAAGAAGGTGCTCTAAAGGAATACATAGCCCATTAGAAGTGTCACACATGTATTAGCCTGTCCTGCTATGGTTGTTCTATTTATCTCACAGCCCAAAATGGAGTGTAGAAGTAGTCTAGCCTAGCCCAAAATGCAGAAGTAGTCTAGCCTAGTCCAATGCACGTAGTCAAGGCACAATCCTGGACACTGACTTTAAGAGTGGAATGGCTGCAAGTTGAGGAATTTGGACAGAGAAGGTTAGTAGGAACACTGCTGGAAGAAACGGCTAACAGTCGTGGTGAAATTTCCAGGTACAACTTTTGCCAGGGAAATTAAATGCAATGTGTCGCCATGAGAGCTCATTGTCCAGTGATTGCTCTTGAGAGCTGGTTCTTAAGGCTTCTGCATAGGGCAAAGCAGACCTCACTTCACTCCAAGGGAAGGATGGTGTGATTCAGGGATCTGTGAAAGGGAACAAAGGATTATGTTTGGGGGCTCTGTAAGCTCACAGCATTTTGGGGTGCAGCCTGCCTCTACCCAGAGATCTGATGTGGAGCAGGGTATGTAGCTGCCTGCTGGAGAGCATATGCTGTGGCTCTTCTGCCCAGCCTGGATATTTGTGTATAAAGGCAATTTTTACAAAATGCTATGCGCCTCCAGTGACCTTCCAAAGGAAACCAAACCCTGCGGAAGTGGAATGAGTGTAACATTACCACCATCAATCATTCCTCTTGAGTACTATCTCTGTGTGCAAAGTTCATTTTGCCCAGTTGTGGTCTGGAGAAGGTGTATGTCCCTTTAAAACCCACAGTGAAGTAGGAGATACGATGAGGAACATAGAAAGCTGCCTTCTTCCAAGTCAGACCACTGGTACATCTGGCTCAGTATTGCGTACACTGACTGGCAGCCGCTCTCTTGGGGTGCAGACAGGAGTCCCTCCCAGCCCTTACCTGGAGATGCCAGGGATGGAATTCTGCACTCAAAACAGATGCTGTGTAACTGAGCTACGGCCCTTCCTCCTGAGATTGCCATGGCTTCTCTTGTCCACTCACCACTGTTTTTAAAAAATTATAAATATGAAAACACAGATTAGACAATATATATCTAGACAGCATAAGCAATCCACTTAAAAATTATACAAACTATATTAAACTGTGGCTTATGTAACAGTAAAACATGAATGCATTAATTTCTACACCAAAATTTATCTTCCAAAATTTATCTTCCAATAGTTAATTAAAATTTTATTTTTACTATTTCCAATTAATTTCCAATAATTGTGCCCATTGACATGCATTCTTTATTAGAACTGTGCACCAGATTTGGCCAAAGCCTGAATCCCAAGCCAAATCATGCTGATTCAGAGTAGGGAGGGGGAAATTCAGGCTTCAGCCAAGATGGGTGCTGGCACCCACAGGATCATCTTTGGTCAGGCACCCTGGAGTGTTAGGGGGAGGGCATAGCGGGACTGAATCATCCACTCACCAGCCAGTGGGTGCTTCTTCATGAGTGGAAGGATCTTGCAAAAGAGCACTCTGCAGAACCCAGCCCCAAGCCTCTTCACTGCCCATCCTTAAGGTCCTGTTGCCATAGCAACTGCCCAGCCAACTACCATCAGCCATTGCTGTGCTGCAGGAGCCAGCAGTTCCAGAGAACCTGGGACCTGGGGGGGGGGGGGAGGGTGTCGCTGAGGTATGCCCAGGCAGCTGCTGTAACAATGGGACTCTGGGAATGGGCTGTGAGGTCCATCCCCTCCAAGTTTCCAGATTTTCCAGGCACAGTCCCAGAATTACGAAAGCCATCCCATCTTCTGATTTGATCCTGGAATGTCCCTATTTCCCCTGCCAGTGCTGCTGCTGCTGAACTCAGTGAGCAGGATGACCTGAGCAATAGTGGCTGCAAGAGAGCATCCTATTTCCTCTCCAGGGCCTTTCCAGGGACTCTCCAGGGCCACCAGTGCCGGCCACCTCCCTTGGGCAGCTCATAGTGGCTGCTGAAGAGCAGGCGAGGAGGAGGAAAGGCTGGGCTTCTGAGGTCCAGCCCTGTGTGACGCATTGGCCCTAAGGGGCAGGCAGAGGGCAGGGCCAGCCTGGCGAGAAGAAAGGGGGAGTGGGCAGAGCGGAAGGAGCCTTGATTTTTTAAATAAATTTTTTTTGTGCATCCGTGTCTAATCTTGCCCCTTTCTAAAGGTAAAGGGACCCAAGTCCAGTCACGAATGACTCTGGGGTTGCGGCGCTCATCTCGCTTTACTGGCCAAGGGATCCGGTATTTGTCCACTCACAGTTTTTCTGGGTCATGTGGCCAGCAGGACTAAGCCGCTTCTGGCGAAACCAGAGCAACGCACGAAAAACGCCGTTTACCTTTCCACCAGAGCGGTACCTATTTATCTACTTGCACTGCATGCTTTTGAAGTGCTAGGAGCAGGGACTGGGCAACAGGAGCTCACCCCATCACAGGGATTCGAACGGCCGACCTTCTGATCAGCAGGCCCTAGGCTCAGTGGTTTAAACCACAGCGCCACCCTTGTCCCTTTACTTGCCCCTTTCTAGAGTGTATTTAATGGTGTGTTTGTCTTTTTGTCAATCCACCAAAGCGTAAATTAAAATTGGGATGAAGGGGCTTTCTCAGGACGGTGAAGGCCATGTGTGCTGTGTCCCATTGGTGTGGTGGTGGCGGCACCCCCCCCTTCTTCTGATTGGAAATGCTTTGGGGCCTCGAGGAGAGTCAGTTGCTGGGAGTGAGTAATGTCCCTATTTTCACCTAAGGAATGTTGGAAGGTTTGGAGGTCTGGCAGGGAGGTGTTTGAGGAAGGGTGAATTGGGATTCAATCCTGCATGACACTCCATTGCAAGTGACAACATCCCTGCAGGTGCTTCTTGCAAAGAAGCACCTTGTACCTTGCAGGATCAAACACTTCTGCTTCTAGTCGGGAGACAGGAAGGAGGGGTTGGCCTCCTTTGGGTCGGGTCAGGAAGGGGGACTGTGCGCAGCCCTATCATTCATCCACCTTGAAGGGATTGCTTTTATATGTCTCAGTCTTTTTGCTATTAACACCTTTGTTGCTGTTAGCAAATTTGAGATTGTAGGGCTGTGCATTTTTACATACTAGAATGAAAAGCTTGGAAAATAATTATTTTAGAGTCAAAAGTTAATGCTGTGTATTCTTCTGAACGAACAAGAATGTCTTGTAGAACGGCATAAGTCTTGATGAAGGTGGGAAAATAATAATAATAAATTTTTATTTATACCCCGCCCTCCCCAGCCAAGGCCGGGCTCAGGGCGGATAACAGGCAATAATAAAAACAAGTTGAATGAATACAACTTAAAAACAAGATTAAAATACAACAATTAAAATATTGAAACATTAAAATATTAAAATGCAGCCTCATCACAGGAGGAGAAAGGAAAAAGAAAAAAGAAATAAGGGGATGGAATCAAATTGGCTCCAAGCCAAAGGCCAGGTGGAACAACTCTGTCTTACAGGCCCTGCGGAAAGAAATCAGATCCTGCAGGGCCCTGGTCTCATGAGGCAGAGCGTTCCACCAGGCCGGAGCCAGTGTTGAGAAGGCCCTGGCTCTGGTTGAAGCCAATCTAACTTCCTTAGGGCCTGGGACCTCTAGGGTGTTGCTATTTATGGACCTTAAGGTCCTCTGTGGGGCATACCAGGAGAGGCGGTCCCATAGGTACGAGGGTCCTAGGCTGTGAAGGGCTTTAAAGGTCAAAATTAGCACCTTAAATCTGACCCTGTACTCCACTGGGAGCCAGTGCAGCTGGAAAAGCACTGGGTGAATATGCTCCCATGGCAGAGACCCCGTGAGGAGCCTCGCTGCAGCATTCTGCACCCGCTGGAGTTTCAGGGACAGCTTCAAGGGCAGCCCCGTGTAGAGCAAATTACAGTAGTCAAGCCTGGAGGTGACCGTTGCATGGATCACTGTGGCCAGGTCGATACTGTGTAGATACTGAGTAGATACTGAGGTCAGAAGGAAATTCAAGGTCTGCAATTCTGGCTGCCATTTACACTCATTCACAGCGGCTGATCATGAGAGCTTGTTGAGAACTGCTTTGGGGAATAGCTTTGGGGAGGATCCCTTGACAAGCCCTGCCAGCAGCACAAAACTAAGCGCATCTTCTGAGAAGCAGGTCATTTGGAGTCCAGTGGGGCTTGGTCCTTGGAAAGCGCATTTAGAATTGCAGCCTGCAGGGGCATCAGCCTGTGAGCCAGAGAGGGTCTTCATCTCAAGCTACCACGCTAGGCTCCTCACTTCCTGCTATAGCCTTTGTCCAAGCGTCCGGGTCTCAGGGCATGCAGATCATCTGGCCAGAAGCAAGGAGCTGACATTAAACATTCCCTATCCACTGGGCTGCCTCTACCTCAGCCGGTGAGGAAGAGGGACCCCCTTACTTCAGCTCTACCTGAGAAACCCGCCTCCCTAACTCACTGCACTAGCTGAGGTTAATTTCCAACAAGCGACATATTTGTTTGTTTGTTAGACATTCTGTTTTTATTTGAATGATATGCAATCAGCAGCTGTGCTTAATGATCGATGTGTCACCAGCAGGGCCTGTTACGATATGGATGCAACGCAGCTGCAAACTGCAAGCTTGAAAACATCACAGATGGGAATGTTGGGACAGTCCGTGGGAAACAGTGGGACTTTCAATTCACAGGGCAATGCACCGGAATTTGCTCAGAGTGTAATCTGAGACCTTCCTCTTGCGTATGTACAGGAAGTACAGGAAGTCTTTGTCACTTGATTGCTGGAGTTTGAAGAGTACAGACATGTTTTCTGTAATGCTGAAGAGACAGAAATAAAAGCATGTAAATACGTTTCTGTCTATCTCCTTTCCCTGCCGGGGGAGCAGGAGGGAGTGGGTGTGTTCTTCCCACGCTGGGAAGAATCGCCTATCGAGACCTAGCCTGGACCTTGCTGGGGAATGCAGCCAGGGAGGTCAACCGGAGACCAAGCCAGGTGCCTGGGAGAGTTGCCAGTTTCTCCCTATATAGGCTTGATTTCCAACATGCTCCAGGTCTCTGATTTGAAACCTCAGGGTTTGGGATGCTCCTGACCAGCCAACCCCAGGAGTCTGGGGCCACCATAGTCTGGTGTTCTGCCCAGGACCCCCCGAGCAGGGCTCATGGACAGGATCTCCCTGGAGTTGCTCCTGGCTATTCACTATTCCTGCTGGCCTGTTCCCTTGCCTCCCATTATGGCCCAGGCAGTGATGGAATAGAAAGAACAAAAAAGCTGCATTTAGTACTCCAGTACTGGAATTTATTTTAGAAAGCCTCCCACTGGAACCATGAGCAGTGGCAGTTAGGTAATGTAATGGTCTTACAGCTCCCTCTCTTTAGATAGTAATTAGCGATGCAGCTGAAACTCGAAATTGTTTATTTATTTGATTTATTAGTCACCCAATACAAAAATAGCCTCTAGGCAACTCACAAACAGAACAAAAGTACAGAGTTTAAACATAGCAATCATCAATATGCTAATACAACAGCACCCTCAATACTTCCATCAGCGACAGCAACAGTAAAAACACCAGAGGAATATGGGTCATGAAAACAGGCACCTCAGCGGATGAATCAGCTAGGTCTGTAAATGCCTGGATGTGCACCAGGACCATTTTAACATTGAACGAACTTTAACATTTTGGAATGCAAACAGAGATTGATTATGATTTAGTTTCCAGCCTCTGAGCATATGTGGTGTTCATGAGTAAGTATCCAGACCGGTGCATCTTTGGGCCTGCTCAGCTCATGTGTCGATTCCTGTAGCTCTTTACCTTCTAAGGAACAATGCCCTATTTGCAAATGGTTTTCATATATTTTATTCATTTATTCATTTCAGTTATAAGATCTCTTACCTGCTCTTCACCTAGGGCAGGTTACAACACTATAATGTGCAATAAGAAAAACAGTTAAAACAGTTGAAATGGTAAAGACAATTGAAAAAACTAGAACACAATGGTATTTCACTGTAACCCTTCTGTTACTTATTGCAAGCCAGTCAGTTTAACAGTTTGGATCTGGAATCAGCTCTTTGGGCTGGCATTGCAATAAATAATAATAATAATAATAATAATAATAATAATAATAATAATAATGTCACAGAAGTTGGGTGCCTGCCCCTCTCTCTGCCGAGTGGTGACAAGATCCCAGGGGGTTGCCAGCACTCACCCAGGGTCTGTGTCCCTGTGGAGAATTGAGGCACGGTGGAGACTGTCGTAGCTTTAAGAAACATTGTTTATTCACCTACTTACACCTTCATTCGGCATGGAGGGAGTCCAGAGCTCACAGCATGGTCACCTCAAGAGGGGCTTGACCCCCACAGCTGTGCAGCCCTGGAGTCAAAGGCATCACTCCCAGCCAGCCTTCAGCCAGCCTGCCCAAGAAACCCCTTGCTACCAAACTCTCTTTTTCCTGTTTCCTCACACCCAGTTATCGTGGCCCCCTTCTGAACCCAGTCCCTGTTCACACCTCGGGGCAAGGGGAAGGGCAGTGTTGGCCCTGTATTGTTTCTTAATGGCCCCAGTTCGGTCCGGTCATCTTGCATAGGCTAGCCCAGCAATTCCAATGCAGCTGGTATCTCTTCCCTCAAAGCCAAAATAATCATAATCCTACCATTTATTAGTTTCTAGGGTTTAGCGTGTGTGCGTGCACACACACACACACACACACACACACACACACACACCCTGCCACTGGTAATACAGGCATATTAGAAACAGAACAGCCAATGAGAGAGTGGAATGTTCTTCTGGGACAAGTTCATTCATCCCTAATGGACACAGATGCATTACTGCAGTTGCTTACAAATGGCTAGGCTAGTCCTGCTGTATATAGGAGCCCACCTGTTCATTCTGCCAAGCAGCCTTCTCCGCATCTGCTCCAGTTTCCTACCCCAATGGCACCACTGAAAACAACAAAGGAACAGAACGGGGGAAATGTGAGCATGAAATGGGCCTCCATTTTTATCTCATGTGCAGGGACAATGGGGAATTTGGGAGACATTGCTGTAATTTCATAATCACCAGTTATGTAGCAAATGGCTTCAGCTATTACCGTATTGGCCCGAATATAAGCCACACTCCTCCCCCCCCCCCCAATTCCAACCCTGAAAACTTAAAATGTGGCTTATATTTGCAACCTTACACTGCTGGCAAAGCGGCACGACTCCCCCCCCCCCCAAGAAGCAGCCCGCCCGCCACTCCCAGGCCTCCCCCGATGCCAGATGGGAGAGGTGGTGCCGGGAGGTGGTAATGTCAGGAGGTGGGTGCGCTGGCCGCCCCCCGCCCCCCATTCAGGGTGGTAGAGCTGGGAGGTGGGCCACACCCACTAATAAGCCTTTAATTTTAAAGGTGTGGCTTGTATTCACGTCAATACGGTATTTGACACAGATAAAGGATTCAGCTATTATTCCCTAGGTGCATCCAGACTCTGCCATTCCATTTGATAATATCATTAAAATGAATCCATTTAAGATGCTATTGGATTCCTCAGTGAGACAGGAACCAAGGGTTTGAGTCCAAATAGTCCCTTTAAGAATCAATGATTGGGTGCTATTTAAAGAGAAACAAGGCATCTATTCTGAGATTCATTAGTCAGGTAAAACATCTGAGCACATTACACAGGATGCAAAAACAAAAACACCCCAAAACACCCAGTAATAAGTTGCAAATGAACCGGGCAATAAAAAGAGAAAGTCACGTACAAAACACCCAGCAAAGAAACAGCAGGAGGCTGTACCTAAACTTTTGACCTTCCTTAGAGGACAACATTTTGTCCCAGTTTGCAATTGCCAGAGTTTTAGCTGAAGTGAGCTGTTCATCGTACGTAGCACTGATTTTGCCTCAATTTCACTGACTCCCAGTTGCTTTCCTGCTCCAGTGGTTGCCCTTGGGATCTAGCATCCCAGTTGCAGGAGGTATAAGCCTCTTACCAAAACACTCACCAAGAAGAGCAGGGATGACGGTACAGTGCAATCCAAGAAATATCAAGCACAGGGAAGCAGTTCAGGTCCAAAATGTGGGCAGGTAACAGCCAATCCCACAGGTAGCCCAGGCAAGGTGCAGCTCTTCTAATGGTCCATCACAAAGCCATCTAGGAAGTTACTATGAGGAAGAATTGCAGCCATTAAGATGAACGCATTGCCAAAAATGTTGTTTTTGTTTCAGACAATACAGGCATTAAGTAATGCAGTATTGTGCTGGTCCCGGGGGGGGGGGGTACCGTGCGGCATAGTCAGTGTCCGGTCCGAGGCTGAAGCGGGGTCCAAGGCAGGGAGTCGACCGTGGTCAGGAACTCTGGCAGAAAGCAGGACAGGGTGCCGGCAGGAACAGGTAACCAACGATGTTGCTCCCGCAACCTGGGACTGGGCAGGCTGGCCTTTATCTCCTCTGAGGCAACACTCCTCTGAAAGTGTTGATGTGCAATGCCAGGTCAATGATTCATAAGACCACTGCCATCCATGACTTGATCATGGATGGAGGACTTGACCTGGCATGTGTAACAGAGACTTGGTTGGATGAAGCAGATGGGCCTGTCCTTGCCGCTGCTTGTCCACCAGGTTTCTCTTACGCACAGCAACCCAGGTCATGTGGGCGGGGAGGGGGGGTTGCAGTGATTTTTAGGAAGTCATTAGTTTGCACCAGGCGTCCTATTGGGAAGATCCAGTTTTCCGAGTGCATGTTCTGGAAGTTGGGCAATAGGGGCAGTACAGGATTCCGTTTGGTGTACCGACCTCCCCGCTGCACCAAGGATTCCCTGCCCGAGTTGCTTCAGGTCGTGGCGGATGTTCTCCTGGAGACACCTAGCTTGGTTGTCCTAGGGGATTTTAACATCCATGCCGACACGACCTTACAAGGGGCCGCTCGGGACTTCATGGAAAGCATGGCCTCCATGGGGCTGTCCCTGAATAAGTTTGGCCCAACCCATAGCCGCGGACATGCCTTGGACCTGGTGTTTACCTCTATGGATGTTGGTGATCTGACACTAAGTAAAAGCAAAATGAAAGAAGTGCCATGGTCAGATCACTTCCTGGTGCAACTGGACTTCTCTGCGACCCATCCCCTCTGCAGGGAGGTGGGACCGATTCGGATGGTCCGCCCCTGCCACTTAATGGATCCAAATGGTTTCCAGAGAGTGGTAGGGGATGCTCTATCCCATGTTGATGGCCTTTCAGCCGATTCCCTGGTGGCCCACTGGAATGTGGAGTTAACCAGGGCTATTGACTATTTGGCTCCGAAGCGCCCTCACCGATTGCATGGAGCCCGGAGAGCCCCGTGGTTTTCCACGGATCTGAGGGCAATGAAACAATCGTTGAGACGGCTAGATCTCCGGTGGCGGATAACTCATTCCGAATCTGACCGGACACAGGTTAGAGCTCAACGTCGAGCCTACCAAGTGGCAATAGCGATGGCGAAGAAGACTTTCTTTGCCGCCTCTATTGCATCTGCAGAAAACAGCAGCAGGAGACTTTTTTTTTTAAATAAATTTTTATTAATTTTCCAAACACATAATAAAGACAAACAATACACAAAACAAAAACATACAAACATATAAACATGTATAATTTCATAATCTTTTTTTCATGCACCTTACTTCCCGGACTTCCCCATACCTCCCCTTTTCTGCATCCTTGTTTTACGTTTCTTCAGCAACTCCTCCAATTAACTAATTATTTAATTCACTTTCATTAGATTCCTTTTTTTTTAACTTATTGATTACAGCTGCAATTCTCTATTTCTTAGTTCCTTAACATCTTAACACTCCTCAATTTTACAGCAATTTTTAAGATATATTTTAAATTTCTTCCAATCTTCTTCCACTGTCTCTTTCCCCTGGTCACAGATTCTGCCGGTCATCTCTGCCAGTCCCATATAGTCAATCACCTTCGTCTGCCATTCTTCCAGAGTGGGTAGTTCTTGTGTCTTCCAATACTTTGCCAGAAGAATTCTTGCTGCTGTAGTAGCATACATGAAAAACGTCCTATCCTTCCTTGACACCAATTGGCCAACCATGCCCAGGAGAAAAGCCTCAGGTTTCTTAGGAAATGTCCATTTAAGGACTTTCTTAATTTCATTGTAGATCATTTCCCAAAAGGCTTTAATCTTCGGGCAGGCCACCAAAGGTGATAAAAGGTACCTTCAGTCTCATTGCATTTCCAGCATTTGTTATTGGGCGAATGGTAAATTTTTGCAAGCTTGACTGGGGTCATGTACCACCTGTAGATCATTTTCATTATGTTTTCTCTTAAGGAATTACATGCCGTAAACTTAGCACCGGTGGTCCATAACTGCTCCCAGTCAGCAAACATAATGTCATGACCAATATCTTGCGCCCATTTAATCATAGCTGATTTCACCGTTTCATCCTGTGTATTCCATTTCAACAGCAAATTATACATTCTTGACAAGTTCTTAGTATTGGGTTCTAACAGTTCTGTTTCTAATTTTGACCTCTCCATCTGGAAGCCTGAGACTTTTTCAGGTGGTTCACAATTTAGCAGAACCACCTGCGACATCGGGGCCCAGTACGGGCCACATGATCTCCTGCAATGATTTTGCAAAGTTTTTTGCAGATAAAATCGCTCAGATTTGGGAAGAAGTAGACTCCACCGTGGGAGCAGGGCCAGGGCGGGAGAGTGCTAGAGTCCTGTCTAGTCAAGTTGTGTGGGATCAATTCCAATCTGTTACCTCCGAGGATGTGGACAGGCTGCTTGGACGAATGAAGCCAACCACCTGTCTCCTGGATCCTTGCTCATCCTGGCTTATAAAAGCTAGCCGGGAAGGACTGGGCAATGGGCTTTGTGGGGTAGTGAATGCTTCCCTCCATGAGGGAGCCTTCCCAGACCCGCTGAAAGAGGCGGTTATTAAACCGCTTCTTAAAAAAACATATTTAGATGCGGCCACGATGGCCAATTATCGCCCAGTCTCAAATCTTCCATTCTTGGGCAAGGTGATTGAGCGAGTGGTTGCTGAACAACTCCAGGCACGCCTGGAAGAAGCGGACCATTTGGATCCCTTCCAGTCGGGATTCAGGCCTCATCATGGGACTGAAACTGCCTTGGTCGCACTGGTTGATGATCTCCGGCGGGCTAGGGACAAAGGTGAGAGCTGTTTCCTAGTTCTGCTGGATCTCTCAGCGGCGTTTGATACCATCAACCATAACATCCTTCTGGACCGTCTTCAGGGGCTGGGAGCTGGAGGCACTGTCATACAGTGGTTCCGCTCCTTCCTCCTGGGCCGTGTTCAGAAAGTGGTGGTGGGGGATGAGTGTTCAGACCCCTGGGCTCTCACTTGTGGGGTGCCTCAGGGTTCTGTCCTCTCCCCCATGCTTTTCAACATTTACATGCAGCCACTGGGAGAGATCATCAGGAGGTTTGGGCTGGGTGTTCATCAGTATGCGGATGATACCCAGCTCTACCTCTCTTTTAAATCAGAACCAGTGAAGGCGGTGAAGGTCCTGTGTGAGTGTCTGGAAGCGGAGGATGGATGGTGGCTAACAGATTGAGGTTGAATCCTGACAAGACAGAAGTACTGTTTTTGGGGGACAGGAGGCGAGCAGGTGTGGAGGATTCCCTGGTCCTGAATGGGGTAACTGTGCCCCTGAAGGACCAGGTGCGCAGCCTGGGAGTCATTTTGGACTCACAGCTGTCCATGGAGGCACAGGTCAAATCTGTATCCAGGGCAGCTGTTTACCAGCTCCATCTGGTACGTAGGCTGAGACCCTATCTGCCTGCAGACTGTCTCACCAGAGTGGTACATGCTCTGGTTATCTCCCGCTTGGACTACTGCAATGCGCTCTACGTGGGGCTACCTTTGAAGGTGACCCGGAAACTACAACTAATCCAGAATGCGGCAGCTAGACTGGTGACTGGGAGCAGCCGCCAAGACCATATAACACCGGTCTTGAAAGACCTACATTGGCTCCCAGTACGTTTCTGAGCACAATTCAAAGTGTTGGTGCTGACCTTTAAAGCCCCAAACAGCCTCGGTCCAGTATATCTGAAGGAGCGTCTCCTCCCCCATCGTTCTGCCCGGACACTGAGGTCCAGCTCCGAGGGCCTTCTGGTGGTTCCCTCACTGCGAGAGGCCAAGTTACAGGGAACCAGGCAGAGGGCCTTCTTGGTAGTGGCGCCCGCCCTGTGGAACGCCCTCCCATCAGATGTCAAAGCGATAAACATCTACCTGACATTCAGAAGACATCTGAAGGCAGCCCTGTTCAGGGAAGTTTTTAATATGTGACATTTTAGTGTATCTTTCATCTTTGTTGGAAGCCGCCCAGAGTGGCTGGGGCAACCCAGCCAGATGGGCGGGGTACAAATAATAAATTATTATTATTATTATTATTATTATTATTATTATTATTATTATTATTATATGAAAATGATGTACAGATGGTATATTACACCTAAAAAAATGGCAAAAATGTACAAAACAGGTTCCAACAAATATTGGAAGTGTAAAGAAAAGGAAGGCACTTTTTTCCTTATGTGGTGGACTTGCAAACTGATTAAAAATTATTGGAATATGATTTATAATGAAATCAAAAATGTTTAAATTGACTTTTATTACAAGACCAGAAGCTTTTTTACTAGGCATTTCGGGTCAAGAACTACCAACAGAAAAGAAGAAACTATTTATGTATGCTATGACTGCGACTAGGATGCTACTAGCCCAAAGATGGAAAAGCAAAGAAATACCAACTAAGGAAGAATGGATACAAAAACTGATGGAATATGCTGAAATGGCGAAACTAACAGAGAGACTCAGAGACAAAGACAATAGAGAATTTTAAAAAGATTGGGAATCATTTATGTTGTATTTACAGAAACAATGTAAAGAAATAGACTCATTAGCAGGGTTTGAGTAAACACTTACAATCAACAAAAATAAGTATAAAAGCTATAAAGATGTCAAAATTCTAAAAAATAATAATATTTTTATAAAAGTCTATTAGGCGATATAAGCCTTTGGCTCGCCAGGTTTTTATCTGGAGGTTTTGTGCTGCATGGTGGAATAATGGGTGGTACGCCAGGGGGATTAGTGGGGATGGGGTTGGGGATAGTTTGCCTATTTGTGTTTTCCATGCTTTGAGCATGGTCTGTGTG